TGGGCCCTGAACCAGAGGTAACAAAGGGCAGACACACTCTGGCAAGCGGAGGATGGCCTGAAGCTTAGTTGTAATCTCTCTCCCTAATGGGGGGTGGGGGGGCATTCAGGGAGAACAAGAAAGGCATGGGTAAAAATGAATTTTTCTAGAATACAAACTAACAGTAGGTGAAACAGTTTGTGGATGGCCATCTATACCACTAAGGAGAATCAAGGACTGAAAGCTTGGTCCAGAAAAACTAATTAAGGCAGAGTAAGTGGCTCCAGTGTCAACTAGAAATTCAACTAACCTTCCTGCCACATCCAAGGTCACCTGAGGCTCTGCCATTGAGATGGAAAACCTAGCGCCTGCACAGCCTCTGGGCCCATCAGTCCAAGAAGGGAGAGTCATCTTCCCCCTTGTTACCGGCTCCTCATAATCAAGGAACAGAGTTAGGGGCGTCTGCTGGTTCCCTGTAGCTTTAGCCCCAGGAGTGCCTTGGGGCTTAGGCATCGTCCTTGGCTCTGAGATGGCCCTCCTGCACCAGGGGCAGGGGGACTAGGGACAGTCCTGCCTCCCATAACCCTTTTCCTTGCAAATAGAGCAAGAGAGTATCGTCAGAGATGCCCTCGCTGTTGACAACGAAAACAGACGGGTTTGCCTAAGAGGGGCAGGCTCCCTGCAGAAAGACACTTGTTCTTGCAGCCTCGGTTGAGTTGGTGTCGGCAGGGAATTAGGGAATTAGCAGTAACGGCGGCTATATATTTAGCTTGCTATTTGTCCCTTTTTTTTTTTCCATTCGACCCTTGATGTCTCCTCCTGATTGTTAAAGACCTTAAAAGCCATATCTAATAGGACAGGCCAAGGAGTCTGTGGGTCTTGTTCAAGCTTCTGAAACTTTTGTCTAATGTCTGGGGAGACCTGGCTAATGATTTGAACTGCTGGTGTTGCAAGGCCCTCTGGGCTCCCAGGATTGCATGGCTTCTGCCAACCTGGAATGAAAGAGGGTTAGAGTTTCATCAAGTGCCTGTGTAATTTCTCTCCATTTGGTATAATTAACAGATTTTATTAGTCCTTTTTCATCCGTTTTATTAAACAAGTAATCCTACGGTTACAATATTCCTCCTAAGGTCCCTTCCTTGGTGTGTTCACTGTGGGTCTGTGTCAGGGCCTGCTTCCTTCCTGGACCCAGATGAACCCCCAGACTCAGTATTTTGGGCAGCTTGAGCATGTACCTTGTCAGCCCAATGCTAAGCCGAGAACCAGATGCAGGCCTTTTCTTCATGAGTGCAGCAGGTGGTGAAAATAACAAATGTCCTGCCAGGTCAAATCAAAGGCTATAGCAAGGGCCTAGTGAGGGTACAAAGCGAGAAGGGTTTGGACTGAAAAGATCTGACATAGGGTAAGGGACATGAGCCTGAAAAGTGCCCATTTCACCATTAGCAACCTCACAAAGGGGCAACATGTTGTCTTGTTTTGGGACTTCTGGAATATCCATCTTACCTGGGGATGTCGGTCCTGCTGTCTTAAATAACACCTGATCTAGTATGTGGTGGGCGAAGGGGGCCTGGTGGGAAGGGCGAACCGGGAAACAGTATTTGGCAGTTGAGAGGCTCAAAGCGAGAGAGGCAGGGGAAGGAGAGGGAGAGGTGAAGGGGGCAATGAAGGATACAGAGAAGGTTGTTGTTGTTAAGAGCCCAGAGGGGGTCATCGAGAATATCAGGTTGATCATTGGGCGCCAAGGGACCAGAGTGTGGCAGGGTCTCCAAGAATTGGGAGAGACACTTGCGACAGTTTTTACAAAGGTCCAGATTCTGAGAAGGCCATAAAAGCCTGAACGTAGGCGACCTCAGACCTTTGCCCAATTTGCAACAGAAAGAATCAAGCAGTTAAACAGGTCTTGGACGGCCAGATGTCCTGGTCTGGAAGTTGGTATTGGGGCCAGGTGACATTACAGACAAAGATAAGCTGCTTTTTCTTCAATGTTTGGGGATCACATTTATCCCAGTGTTTTAAAATGCAACCCAATGGTGAGTCCCAGAGAGTAGGAAAAGCATTTCCCACAGTGATTAAGGGGGGTATCAAGGAGAAGAGGAACCCAGCACAGACTCTATTTAGAGGCAAAACTTCTGGTGTCCTCTTACTTTCGGTCCCCCAAGAAAGAGAAGCCAACCCACACGAGGGCCAAATCCAGTGTCAAGGCCACCAGCACAGAGGCTGAGAAAAAGACCAGCGCGAGGGCTGAGGGAGCCAGCCCACCAGCACCAAGGTTAAACCAGCACAAGGGCTAAGCAGTTTAGAAAGAAGGAAAAGTGGGGGAACTCGCCCACCAGCAGCTTGTACCTGGCGTGGCGACGGGGGACTCAGCTGATGTCTGTGTAGCGTCCCGGTCACAGAGGCGGGGTCAGAGGAGAGTTGACACGGCAGAAGAGCACGTGGCAGTCAGGCCCAGAGACGCCACGGAGAGCAGGAGCAAAGTCTGTGTCAGGTTGGAGGGGCTGATTGTGGGGGGAGCTCCCAGGGCTCTCACCCCCTGGGCCAGCTGCTCTCTCTTAACGCTTTCGCTCTCTTATGTGTCTGGGGCCGACCTGGGTGTCCCAAGGGACTGGATGACCAGTCCTTATGCGTGCCTTTCCCAACAGGTCGCTAAGTCCCCTCTGACCTAGGGACGGGGTATGCAGTAGGAAGGAGTAAAGAGATAGAGGTATTTAGAAAAGAAGTTCCCTGAGTGTGTTCACCACCACGGCCCAGGGGGTCACTCTCCTTTGTCAGGCCGAGTTTCAGAGCCTGCTGAGTATAGCCCAGCCAGAGTTCCTCAATCTACAAGACTTAGAAGTCCTGACCAAAATGGCAGGGAGTGTCAGAAAAGTGTGAGAGAGCAAAGCAGAAAGGGAAGAGGAAAGCCTGCCCTGGCGATCTGGCCTCCTGTAGGGAGCATCCTATCCAGCCAGGGGGAGAGGGGAGCCTGCCCTGAGGATCTGGTCTCCTAAAAGGAGCATCAGATCAAGCCACAGGGAGAGGCTCCTGTAGGAAGGGGTAGGAGGGGAGAGAAAGGGAGATCTGCCTTAAGTGCTCCCCAAACTTTGGGGGTCTCCTGGTGTTTGGGGGTTTCCCCCGTACAGGGCACCAACTGTTGGGGAACACTGCAGGCTGATGTCGTGGTTGATAAACTCCTTGTCTTTGGTAAATTCTTTTAAGAACAAAGGAAGTTTAATAGATACGCTGCTACAGGCAACAGCGGTCCACACAGACAGGAGGTGCTATGAGCACTGAAGGTGAACATGCAGGGTCTTTCACTGGGGAGGGGGCTGTGAACACGAAGGGATAGGGTACAGATTTCTGATTGGCTGTAAGTGACATCAGGGGCTTTAGCATACGGGAGGACAGTGGATTCACGACTCCAGTAAGATGGAGACATGGGCTGACACAAGCAAGGCAGTGGGATTTATGACTCCAATAAGGAGGAGACGTGGGCTGTGAGAAGTCAGCCTGAGTTGTGGTGAGACTAGCCATTTCCCAAGGCTGTCAATTCTGCTAAGGCAAACACACGTCAGGGCTTTTATCTTCTGAAGAAAGAGCAGGCAGGTGCCTAAGGGCTGGAAGTTGTGGGGGGGGGGGGGTGTTGCGGGGCCCCAGCAGGCACCAGTTGGCACTACAGTACTCAATTTAGAATCTGGGAAAATGGGACTTGGGCGGGGTGGTCTCACACCACAGTGCCAGGGAGCGCCTCAACTCCTCTCTGGTCTCCTCCCTGACCTTTCTCCAGATGCAGCTTCCAGTAAAGGACATGTCCCACCTGGGACCCACTGACATCACCTTTCTTTGATCTTAGGGCACCGACTCCACACACATCGGAGTTCACGTCTTTGGTTTATTCATCGAAGGGGCAAGGTGGAATCATGAACAGGAAGTACTGGAAGACTCGTTGCCTCGAGAGATATGTTGTGATTTTCCTGAGATATACTTCTTGCCAACAAAGGTAAGCACCTAAATGTTTATTACGAAGTCTGAGCTTTCCCTCATTCATACATATTCCTTCTACTCCCCATTCCTTATGATTTCACTAGCGGAATTGGCTAATATACTTGACAACAAACACTTCAAACAGCCCTAAAATAGATGTTGATAGGTGCTATAGCAACATCCAGTATGATTTCTCAAGAATATGTACTATAAGGCCATGATAGTTACTCTTTAAAAAATTAAATTCTCCAGGCATAATTTCCACATGTGGTTACCTAACCATCTTAAGTGAAATGTATTTATAAAACTTGTAACAAATCCCCCCAATCTAGTTTATAGAGAATCTGAGCCATTGGTTTGCTTGAACTATGCAATTTGACTACTGGATTTTTTTTTTCAAAGATTTCTACTGAAAGGCCAAATGCTTCTAAGCAGACAGAGTCTGAACTCTATACATTTGAGTGCCCAGTTTACCTGACACCTGAGAGGTCAAGAATTTTGACAACTGCTGACTTAACCTCAAACTTTTTAACATCCGTGTGTTTATCAACAAAGAAACCTCCTAGTCACTGGATCACAATGCAGGTTGCATTGCTGTGTGAGGAGAATGAAAAATAAATTTCCATAATAAAAAACAATTTTTTACTCTAACCAGAGTTAACATGTTTCAAGACATTCACATGTGGTCAACATCCTTTATGAAAATATCTGTAGGTTCAGCCAGACCAGACAATGCAGTCCCTTCCTTCCACCTGTACAGAAAAACGTCAACACGCAGGGGACGCTCCCAGCTGCTTTCACTCTGAGCAGTGTCCCTGTGGCTGGGCCCTAGGTCAGGTGAGGGAGCATGTCCTAGAAAGCTGCAGGTTTGACTTTTCTAAAAGGGAAAACCTTGGCAACTGGCAAGGTATTAGGGCATGTTTTTATGAAATTTGACTCCAAAGAGTGATTTCTGCAGTTATAGTCAATAAAATATACACGTGAAGAGTAGTTCTTTGGAATACTCTCCCTGGCTGCTCTGAGAGAACACAAAGCATGACACTGCTGGCCTGCCTGCAGACTTTTCAAACTTTATTTCCCACTTAAAACTTCATTATAAAACTTGTCAAATAAACACGTCAAAACAAAATTAAAAACAAATTGTAGCTGACATCCAGGAATTGCAGCAATGTGTTGATAACAGCTCTTTTTCCATTACCAAGGAAAGAATGTCCTTCACCTCTCAAGCCTCACTGGTGACTCCTGTTGTGCTGATATATGCAGGCAGTGTTTTTACGCTTTTCTCTTGGCATCAGCAGATTCTCTACTAGAACATTGACCAATCACAACCATGTTTTAAAGACTGGAGGATGCAGAATGCTAGGGCAAACCAACTTCATGATCACATTAACATAAGCTCAGCTATATACACTTCAAATTGCAGTGCAGGATGAACACTGCATATCTAAATGGCTCATATATAAAATGTATAATTAAAGACTTACTTAAACATACACACTATATTTATTAGATTCCTCTATGTTTAAGATACTGAGGACAATTTAACTGAATATAAAAGTTTAGTGAATTTGCTACTGTTCCATTATAGGACAAGTAATAATGAGACTATGTCAACTTAAGTAGAATTTAATGGCTAAAGCTACCTTATGCACATCTATTAAACTAAGATGATTTTAAACTATTCCCTTAAATAATTTTTACATAAACAGATTTCTAAAGATGAACACAACACTCCTTTATAGGGAGTAGTTTTGTAAATATAAAGGATATGCAAAATAACAGTATAAACTGCATGAGCTAACAGTAGCAAAAACACATTTTAATTAAAAAAGTCAAAAACATATAAAAATATTAGCCTGAAATGGCAAATTTTCAAACACCAATCTGTGTAAAAATGTTTAAATAGTGATGATATTCCAAAAATATATATTTTTTCTATTTGCAACAGTTTATAAAGGCAAACAGACACCTGCAATTGAGGTAGCAAAGCCAAATTCACAAACTTTGGATTATGAAAAATATCCTTTCTATGTTTTAATAGCATCTTTCATATAATATTAAATGAATTCTACTTATTTCAAAATGTTTAATTCACATGTATTACTTTACAAAACTTAATTTAAAATACTGCAAATGTTTGTTAAAAAGATACTTAGCCCTGAAAATTATTTCACATTCAAAATACTATACAGAAAAATCTGAAGTCACCATATATTACAGAAGGGCTATTTACATATTCAAACGCAGTTCTCAAAGCTGAGGTTAAGCAAACCACTACTAATGGTCTTCATTAAACAGTGTCCACTAACAATCCTCCCTCTTCACAATTGACCAGAGGACCTTCACATCACGTAACTAGCAAATGTAAGTGTTTTCATGTTAGAAAATGAATGACAAAATGAATCAAAAATTGAAAAGTCATCAAAAACCTTATAAAATCGATAGTATTCATTGCATTTATAAGACTTTCCTGTTTTCAGATTTTTAAGGATTGAAAATTTCCTATTGGGATGCAAATTCTGACATCTTTATATTTTCCTTATGTTAATTATTATGATTTAATAAAAATTAAAATGGCTACATTAAAAGACTACTATTTGGCTCTATATAGTCCTTCCTCAAAAAGAAAAACATAAAGGTCCTGTCAGTGCAATGAAAGGTTCGTTTTGGATTTTTCCTTTTTTGTAAATGGAAGGCAGAATTGCAGAAGCAATCAGACAGTGCACTCGACCAGAATCAGTAAATATACGGGAAGATACGGTAAGGGACGCGCCGACAGTACTTCTCCCAGGCCACGCCGTACTTCTTCTTGCACTGCTGTTCATCCCGTGCCTCTCGGTGCACCAGCAACATGGTGAAATAAATCACGTAGAAATAAGGCAGAATGTGACTAAAACCTGTGGGTAACAACAGTAAATAGTATTGGGTATTTTTATTTTCGCTACACAGTATTGTTTCCTGCTTTTCCCCAAATCCTCTAAAAACAGATTATACCATTACTTCATTTTCTCCAATAATGAGGAAAACACCTAAACCGGGTCATAAAATGCCACTGGTATGTAGCAGAAGGTAGGATTTGAATTAAAAGCTGTTCAGAGAAAAGTGATTCATCCATTCTCACAATCCTTCACAGTCAGGACATCTGTCCCTGTCTTTAGAGCAAATCTCCCCGTGTGCTCCCCTCCAGTCCTTTGGGCAGCAGGACTGTCATCCAGCACCGCCAGGGCAGGGCAGGCACAAAACACAAACGAAACAGAATGTGTCTTGTCTTCTTAAGAACCAAAGTTCTTCAGAATCTGTATACACTTAGCCATGAATAAAAACTTGATTTCCACATATTCTGCTTAGAAAAAACCTACAAGGCACAATTTAAAACTTAAAATTCCACTTGCAGATGTTTTAGAGTAAAGCTTCAGGCTCTGAATCCCTAATTCCCTTCAGAAGCTGGAGGAATGAGGTGCCAGCACCCAGATGGGGAACGGGCAACCCCAACCTCTACCAGGTGACACCCAGACCCGATGAGGACACAATACTCTGTAGGTGGCTGGAGAAGGAGCCGAATCAGTTCTCTTAAATGCTTACCACACGGGAGGGACCAGGCCAGGGCCATGATGAGATCACCCAAGTAATTGGGGTGGCGAACAAAGCCCCACCATCCAGAAACAAGAAGATTTTTTCCCGTTGAAGTATGAATGGTTTTTAAATCTATACAAAAATGAGAATACACTTTTAATGATCTCTAGACAAACAAAATCTTTATGTAGTGTAAATAATATAAATATAAACCAATACTTACGTGCAAGCTTTGGATCAGTGGGATTTTTCCGGAATGCATTTTTCTGGGAATTTGCACATCGGAAGATTACATATCCACAAACTGCAATTTTTTTAAAAAATTTCATTTGTTAACAATTTAGATGTAATCTATATTTAAAAGCACATGAGAACTGACAACCAAGAATACTCAGCAAGGCTCTCGTTCAGATTTGATGGAGAAATCAAAAGCTTCACAGATAAAAGCTAAAAGATTTCAGCACCACCAAACCAGCTTTACAACAAATGTTACAGGACCTTCTCTAGTCATCAAACCATAAGAAAAGAACAAAAATGAGAAAGGGGGGAAAAAAAGACCTACAAAAAGACTGCTTTGGCTGTTTGGGGTCTTTTGTGGTTCCTTATAAATTTTGGAATTGTTTGTTCTAGTTCTGAGAGGAATGTCGTGAGTATTCTGATGAGGGTTGCACTGGATCTGCGGGTTACTTTGGGTAGAATGGCCATTTTGGTAGTGTTGATTCTTCCAATCCAAGAGCAAAAGAAATCTTTCTATTTCTTTGTGTCATTTCGGTTTTTGGTGTATAGGTAACATCCTTGGTTAAGTTTAATTCTGGGTATTTTGATGTTTTTGATGTAATGGAAATGTTTATGCCAGTTACAAAATTCTGGTTTTTGCAGTGAAGAAAAAAGTGAAGGGCCGCAAATGGCAAAATATCCTTCTTTCTTACGGGTGAGTTGTGTTCCATTACATATATATATGCTGCATCTCCCATTATCTATTCAACTATTGATGTGCACTTAGGATGCTTCCATATCTTGACAATTGTAAATAATGTTGCTGTTAATAGCAGGGTGTGTGTATCTTTTTGAATTAATTCTTATTCTGTGATTGGCTTTTTATTCCTTTGACAACTATGTAAGTTTAAAAGCTAAAGCTCTAAATATTCTTAGAAACAATGAAGAGTACATATATGTAAATTTAAAAATATATGGGCAGTTAAAAAAAATGAGCTATCAAGGCATGAAAGACATGGAAGAAACTTAAAAGACAGATTACTAAATGAAAGAAGCTAGTCTGAGAAGGCTACAAGCTATATGATTCCAACCAAATGACATTCTGGAAAAGGTACAGCTAGAGAAACAATAAAAAGATCACGGTTTCCAGGGGTTTGGGGAGAAGGAGGGAGGGAGGGATGAAAAGATGGAGCACAAGGGATTTTTCGGGCAACGAAATTATTCTGTATGATACTATAGTAGTGGCTACATGTCATTATACATTTGTCAAAACCCATGGAATGTACATCATCAAGAGTGAACCCTAATGTAAACTATGGACTTTGGTTGATAATGATGTGCCCATGTTGGTTCATCGATTATACCAAATATGCCACACTGATGAGGGATATTGCAGGTAGGGGAGTATATACATGTGGGTGGGGAGGGCTATGTGTGAACTCTCTATTTTCTGCTCAATTCAGTGTACCCTGAAACTGCTCTTAAAAAGTAGTCTATTAATAAAAAATTAATTTTTAAAGAAGAATGGAAAAATTTTCATTTTTTAAAAGCATATGTAATTTCACTTAGAAGATAGTTCCTGATAAATTTGTGGTATAATTTATACAATGGAATACTACTTGGCCATAAAAAAGAATAAAATAATGCCATTTGCAGCAACATGGATGGACCTGGAGATCATCATTCTAAGTGAAGCCAGGAAGAGAAAGAAAATACCATATGATATCTCTTATATGTGGAATCTAAAAAAAAAAAAAAAAAAAAGAACTTATTTACAAAACAGAAGCAGTCTCACAGACATAGAAAGCAAACTTATGGTTACCAGGGTGGGAAGGGATAAATTGGGAGTTCAAGATTTGCAGATACTAACTACTATATATAAAATAGATAAACAAGTTCATACTTTATAGCATAGGGAACTATATTCAATATCTTGTAGTAACTTATAATGAAAAAAGAATATGAAAACAAATATATGCATGTACATGGATGACTGAACTATTATGCTATACACCAGAAACTGACACAGCATTGTAAACTGACTATACTTCAGTTTTAAAAAAAAGTTATTTCTGTGCTCTGAGGAAATTTCTAAAGTACCGAATAGTTTGATTTCTTAAAAACAGTTCAAAACCTCTCAATCTCAGGACGTCAAAAGAAGGTGCGATCCTGATGTCTCATTATCACACTGCTTTCATTATCCACCTGGGGAATACCCTGAAGGCAAAACTAACAGGTACAGTTACATCCATGAATAAAATCTGATGTAGCCCATGTTACAATCAAATCCGTACTGGAATTCAGTATAATCAATCACCTTTCAGTTAGGGTACCTACCGGCCATAACGTGAACACTTTATTAATCAAACTGTAGCTCAAAGTAAGTCCCAGAACAACTTGCACATAAATACATGCCGAATCTCACTGCAAGCCTACAAACTGATAGCTTCACTTCAAATGTCAAAATTATAGGCCCTGACCCATCACTGACTATTAACTGTTATATTGTCAGCCCCCAATAAAGTAGTAAGAAATAACATTTTTAGCTCAACTGTAAAATATACATATCCTGTCTTGAATAACACACAGGCATGTGTTGGCCAACAATGAAACTAAATCTCAATTATAAATAATGGCTTGAATTTCTTCTACCATAGATACTAATTAGTGTAGCAAAACTAGCAATATTTGAAGTGCAGTGCTAATTTTCCCTGCCCTCCCTCTAGAGGATGTGCTTAATGAGCAGTGTAACAGAAGAAAAGCCATCCTGAGGCTAATCCACAACCGCCCAGCCAAATGCACTCTTCACTCCTCCCCTGACTCCACCCTAGCCCAGGTGTTCCCTCTGTCTGACTTGACCCTGTCTCCCCATCCCAGTTTTACCCACTACGATTCAGATCAAACACTTCATCCTCCAATAAGTTCACACTAAGACAAGTTCTCTCTACCTTAAACTCCCAGCATATCTGGTCTGTAAATCCCTCTCACAGACTCTTCACACACCTCATACCAGTGTCTGAGTGTCTTATTTCTCCAGGTAGAGTGTAAGCTCTATGAAGGCAAGAGCAATCTTCTTACTAAGATGCTACCAGAAAAAGCAGGCACTCAACAGAATAAATAAGAATCATTACTAAAACAGTAAAATTTTAAATCAACTTATTAATTTAAATTAAATTTAATAAATTTTAAAACTAAATGGCTTGTTTAAAATTATGTTTAAAGAACTACTAAAGAATCCATAGAAAGAAACATCCATTCTCTTTGCAAGATACAAGGATCTTTTTATTACTCAACTCATCCATCACAGATTACTTCAAACTTGAGCTAATCATGGGCATTTAAAAGGTCATGCTATAAATCTGGAGATAACAGGGCACAACAGACTCAGGACATAATATTTAATACACAGAGCCTGAAATTAATACTCACGTTTCAGAGCAATGATTAGAGAAGCCACTGGCCAAGACAGTTCATTTGGATGATGGACCAAATAAAAGGCTTGCAAGCTATAGCCGAATGGAACCCACACTAAATCTCCAAAAGCCAGCATGAACCCAAATCCATCATGGATAATATCCATGGTTGTCAATAATGCTTCCTATAAGGGTATAGAGAGGAGAAAAAAATTTTTTTAAGTTGGGGGAGAAAAGCTTCTATGTTTAAAGTATTGAAATAAAGTACAAGTTTACAGTCAAATTTATAAAGGGCTAAGGGAAGGCACACCAACCAAAACCATTTAAAGGTGGGAGTGGGGCCCTGGTTCCTCGATGTGCGCATCACACTAAGTCATTCTGCTTCATCTCCTGTCGCTCTGCCCTCTCGCTCCACGGTCCTGAAACTACAGGCCCCCTCTGCCCGGAACACCCTTCTCCCACTTCAGCTGAAGCCTGCCCTGTGCTGCCTTCCCCGACCCTCTCCGTACACGAGGCACTTCTCAGGCGCCCCACCCGTGGGAGCCCAGAGCAGTCGTGTGACCGCACTGTAACTAAGTGGCTCCACTGGAAGAGAAGGTAGAAGACAGGGAACGTGTTTCCACCTGTCGCCCCTCCGCTGAGCACACATGCACCAACCTAATTTCTGGTCACGATCTGGCTTTTCATGTCACTTTTCTATGTTACTTGGCAACATGGGAAACGGCCTGCTTTACCACTCAGGGTAAATTAGGAAGTGAACGCATTCTCTTGTGGATCTGGTCAGCATGAGCCAGCAGCCAGGTCCCCTTGGACCCAGATACCTGCAGGCCCAACTCCAGAAAGCAGAGACCACCAAGGTCAAAACTCAGGAGGTCTACCCAAAGGACATCTCTAACCTGCCTCTGACTCCACTCCACACCAGCCACTAGAAAAATTAGCAAGTATAAGCTCTGCTGAAGTATCAGTGTTCTAGGTAAAGAAAAAGAGTGATGTCTCCAAAGAGCATTTTTTTCCAGAAAGAAAGCAAAAAGACGATGGAACAGAAGAATGGATGTCATAACCTCTGGGCCCTATGGCTCACACTCTGGTCCAGAGTGCCTATGCGTACACACATGGGCTCTGAGACCTGCAAGCTGACTTCCTGGGCCAAAACGGGATAAAGGTGATAAAAAGACAGCAGCAGATAAAAAAAAGCAGACCAGTGATAACAACAAGGGCACAAAGTGGGCAGGGAGTGAAGGGACAGGATACAAAGAGCTGGTGCCAGGCAGAGGCAGGACCCTTGGTTCCTGGGACCTCAAGGGATTTGCAGCTCAGCTGGCAGAGCTCAGAGGAAGGGCCATTCATATTTAAATTAGTATTCTCGGTTTAAGGTGTGGCACATTAACACACAGAGGAATTTCTATCATCTAGCCTAATAAGAAAATTATTATCTATGAATTGCCCAGAAATGTGCCAGATACTAAAGAAAACCATAAAATCAAGTCTGTTCTTCAAGAAGCTTCCTATAGCCTGGCCGAGATGCTGATAACATGTTAAAAAAAAACAAAACAATCCACTCTAATCCACTATCTCTGGTGAAAAACTGCCTTAAGAGTTTTACCTTAAGATATATTTTCAATGAAAAGAAGTCAATGTTTGTCTAAACCTCTAGAAAATAGGAATTTCTAAGTCACTTAAAAAGTGACTACCACTATATGACAGAAAGCTAGACGGGAGAATCACTAATTATGGCCAAGCCATCAGATAGGAGGTTAAAAAAAAAATCTGAGGTGATAAAGCAACAGAGAAGTATCATCTGACTTATCAAATGCAACCTACCACCTTCTTTGGAGCTATTTATTACATACTAGCAAAAAGACCGACAACTGGTAAGACTAAGTGCACTTACAAGAGGTGGGTTTTTGTTTATAAATTTCAAAGGCAGATTTAATTCTGAGCAGTCAGAATTGTCGGAGGACTCTTCTCAGACGCTCTCACCATCTCTAGAGCTTCCAGGGCTCAGCCCAGGTTTGTGTTAGGTGGTAAGAGCTCAACAAGAATCTGAGTGTGGCTACTTGTACTTGAGGTCTGCCCACCTCCACGAGGTCCTAATCTTCTCCCCAAGAAAAGGAAGATTATCGACCTATCAGTGTCAAGTTCTCAAGGTCGTTATGACTAAATATGACCAAATACTAGTTTTCTAAAAATGCCTTAAAGGAGATGGACCTTCTCTCAAAATGTCAGTAGACTGCCATGAAAACTTGTTTAGGAACATAACGTAGGGCTGCCAATTTTGTTTTTAAAAACTGAAAGAAAACTCAACTCGGAGTTTGGAGGAGATGATTACAAAGATAACAGTAAATATGATTAACAAAACAGTTGTAAAATAGGCCCAAGGAAGAAACTATTTTCAAGAGGAATATATTTAGTTGAGAGAGATTAGCAAACATTTACTAGTCTTCAGGTAGCAGAAAACACTGATGATGTATCAACATATGAGAAACACCATGTGTTAGGAATTTAGTTTTATTTAGATGGTTGCCTCAGTGTATTATGATTTGTGATTGTATATCCATCTTATTAGAGCTATTCCTTGTATTCTGAAACACCAACAATAAAACATCTCCCCTATCATTTAAGAACTAGTTGCCCCTTGACAAGCCAAAAAAACACTATCCTAATTTGATAATCTGCCCATCCATTTTCATCTGATTGAATAATTAAGAAATTGTTTTATTTATATGTATCGGTCACACTCACAAAGCCAAGATCCACAGACCTTAAATATACATGGACATATCACCAAATTCCTAGATGCCTAGCATCTGTCAGCGCTCACTGTGTGTCAGTTCAATGAGTCACATGGCCTGACATCTCCTTTAATCCATCACAAGCCTTGGAGGCAGGTTACATTCTCCTCATTTTTTGTGTAAGAAGCCGAGGCTCCAAGAAGTCAGGTCACTCACTCACCCACACTTAATGTTGTCTGACTCCAAGGCTCTTAAAATTAATTACCTCATTCCAGAGAGCGTCCACCACGTAAAAGAGCTGGAAACTGTTGACCAAAATCATTGCTAAGGATGGAACAGCACGACCCTGTACCTTCATCTCAGCCAAAAGCATCACCAGGTTAATGACCACCTGAAATAAAAGGGGCAAAAATAGTTTCTACGGACAGAGAGAGTAACTTCCTAGCTGAGAAGGCCACAGGTGCCACCTTAGCGAGCAGCCACCATCAGTGATAAGACATACCAACCTCATGAATCCCTTGATATAACACACTGAGGCCACTTATTTCCACAGAGCTCTTGCCAGAGATGCATAACTCACTCCAATCATGAGAAAACACTGGACTAACCCAAACTGAGGGACCCTCTCACAAAGTAACTGACCAGTACCCTTCAAAAGTGTCAGGGTCATGAAAGACAAGGAAAGACTAAGCCACTACTGTAGACTAGAGGGGACTAAGGCCAAATAAGAAGAAAATGTGCCATGGGACTCTGAGGAGGATCCTGGAGCAGGGAAACTCCAAAGGTGGAAAACTGGTGAAACTCAAATTAGGTCTGTGGATTTAATTAATAATACCATAACAATGTTAATTTGCTGGGGTTTTTTTTAATTGTTGTTAATAATTATGCTATGGTTCTGCCAGACGTTAACACTGGGGAAAGTGGTATGAAGGAACTCTATTTTTACGACTCTCATACAAGTCTAAAATTAGGTCAAAATACATTTTTTTCTTAATAAATTCATCTACATTATTATTTTCCTACATGAACATAAACTGATACAATCAAAATAAAACAAACCCTTTTAATGTCTAATAACCTGTAACAGGGCATCTTAACCCTCTGGACTGTATATACAGAAAGAAAATATTTTAAGTAGACAGATTTACGGAAAGCTGTAATTATTCCTAAAAACATACCACCCGCAGCTTACTTTAAAACTGTCTACAATTCTTTCTAAATGAAAGACTAATTTGTACTACTGAACTGAAATTTTTAAAAGGTTTTAAAAAGGCATACCCATCCGATCAGTCCGGGGCGCAGTTCACAAAAGTATTTGAGATCAAAAGTACCAATCCGAGGATTTAACTCACGGCCAATGAAGAAATCATAGATGGCATTTCCTAAGAAGGGAAAAGTTCTTATCCAGACGGTATTCCAAACCCAATTATGAGGCTTTACAATTGCACTGTTGTCTACTATCCAGGGCACAATTCAGTCACCTCCAGGAGCCGGGCCAACAGCCAGCGAGGGAAGGCATGGTGGTGAGAGCCAAGAGGGACCACAAGGATGCAGGGACAGGGGAAGCTGATCCTATCTGGAAACATCCATGCTGCTACAAGCATGGGGCCCTTTAAGGCCAGAGTCCTGGGTTTTAAGGGAATTGGAGCTTTTTTTTAAAATGTAGACTCACAATTTTTAAAATATGCAACTTAATTTTTTTTAGCGCTTAAATACTTTAGGTTAGAATCAACCAATTTCTAATTTCTGTTATTTGTTTTTTTTTAAAAGATGTTTACTATTCAGAACAAAAAACAGTATTTGTCATTATTGTTATGCTATTCATGTTACTAAAATGCTGTAAGTTCTTAAAACATCTTATTGTCAGCAAGTGACTAAAATAGGAAGAAATGAATAGGAAAGTATGAGGGGAAAAAAAATCAAATAAATTTTCTTCCTTTTATCTTTAAATTTTTTCTTCATCTCCCCCCCCCCACTTCTCTTGATCTCCCATAAACTAAAGCTAAAAGAGCCTAGAAATGGCTGCTAGGGGACCAGGGGCCATGCTCCTGGGACACGTGTGTGGGCCCCGTGCTCTAATACCGCTCACCAGAGCTGGCCGGCGACAGGTCATCCTGGGGTGCTTTCAAAGCCCTGGCGTAGAGATAAACACTCAGGACCACAGAAAAAACAGTGGCTGCCAGGGCAAACTGAAGGAAGTGACTGTACACATAACAAAGCTCTACGTCCCAGAAGACAGATGCTCCAATGAGTGCAGATGTCAGGATAAAAGCATAGAATCCTTAAAAAAAGGGGGGGGAGGGGGAAAAATTAATGTTAACCCAGTGTTCATGAGAGTTATACCATTATAAAACAATGCAAGGTTATTTCATTATTCGGGCTAAATACACACAGATACGTGAACAAGCAGGACTGCTGAGGTTAGCAGCCCTCACTGTAGATGTCATTCTCTCTCACACAATTTTTCAAATATTTTAACATACTTAAGTTATTCGTTTTCATTGTGAACAGTCGTCTGTTTTTAATTTAAGAGAAAGCTGAAAAGAAGTGCACAGAAAGTCACTACTGAAGAGCTGAAAAGAACCTCAAAATTCGCATAATCCAAACCCTCAGGCCCAAAGTCAAATGGCTAATTATGGACAGAGCTGGGCCAAACACATGTTAAAGTCTTTAGGGCAATCTTGGTGGTTATAAATCGTAAATTTTTTTACCTGAAATAACTTATCACTACGGGTTTCAAATGATCCTGGTCATACTCTGCCTCCCAAACACAGATCTCAAGACCCTGCCCTTAAAGAAGAGGTCACAGCACAAATGCCCCCCACGGCCAGGCAGGCAGCTGGGGGGATGTCAGGGAGGGACTGTGGGGCCAGAGACATTCATTCCAAAGTAAAAAGCACCCACGAGGACCCACAAGAGGAACTCCTGTTCTGAGCCAGCCCTGCTACACCTAACAGACAGGGGCTGAGTGGACTGTTGGCTTTTTTTTTGACTCAAGAAATAGTCTTGCTTTCAGGCACTGAGTACCTCCAGAATCTGTTCTCTGAGTAAGTCGTCCAGTTTTATGTGGATAAAAACAGTCAAACACAGAAAAGAGGTAGATGTTACTTACAAAAGAATTCTAAAATCAAAGCTTTTGTAAAGTAAAATGGTTATCTCTAATTTATTATTTAAATCCACATTTTCCACATATCAGATTTACTCCAAAGAGTAACTTTCAACTTTTTCAACTTTTTAACTTCTTAAAATATTCATTTAACTCTCATGAAATTTATGAATATGAAAGAAAAGGACTGGTAGAGAAAGCAGTGTCTTGCTCTCTGGCCTACGTGGATGAAATTATTCAAAACGTCTTAGGGCTCTCCTTAGTTTACGATGGCACGATCCCGTAATGAGAAATCTCTTAACAGCAGGACCAGAGTAACCAGATGAGGAAATTTTAAGAAGGATCAGACTAGCCCAGCCACTGCCTGCTCCTCCAGCAGCTCCAAGTCCAGGAACTACTGGCCTCAGTCTCAGAGGGAGCCTCACTCACCCTCAAAGGGAAGCGAAAACAGAAAAGAAAAGCACTTAGAACAGAAGTAAATGGGTACCTAGAGAGAAGCCCACAGAACATGAGTATCATGGACCTGATGGCGAAAACCCCATCTCTCCCCAGACTCGGCCTCACTGGGGTCGCAAGGCACACAAGGACAGGGTGTGTCAGAGATTCTAAAGCTGGTTCCAGCGGCAAGGAATCTGGTAAAAGTAAACAGAATATCTGACAGTTGCAGCAAATAAGTGTTAAGCAGGGGTCAGGGACTGAGCTAGCTTCAAGTTTCACACACTTGGCACAAAAAGCAGAGGCATCAAAAATACCTTTGGCTTCCCCTTTAGAGCCCAGTAGAGTGATTTCAGATACAGTGGATGCTAGGTTAAGTCACTGAAAAAGTACCCAAAGTTAGAAAGGTGAGAATTGATAGGATATCAAAAAGGCCAAAGATTAAAATTTATAATGTAATTCCCAAGAAAATGAAAACAGTCTACTCAACCCAGTTAAAATGGAAAAACCTTTTAAGGATAACTACACTATATACATATTTCTTAACAGCAAGTTAACTGTACTTTATCAAAGTTGGCAAAGTTGAACTGATCTCTTACTCAGCACACACTCTACCATCGGAGGTCCCAGATCAAGAGGGACAATGTCTGCCCACTTCCGGAGATGCTCAGGGCTCCTATCCACAGCGCCTCCTACAGGCCAGCCACTTCCCTAGCATCAAGGGGACACAGGCACGTCCCAGCCCACAAGCTGCCTTCTAGTGAGGAGACCCCAAAGGTCAGACAAGTACACTGATGTCAGGAAGGCCTGTCGTAGAGGAAAATAAAGCAGCATAAAGGAAAGGAAGGGACTTGAGCACTTCTCTGAGCAGAGATGTGACAAGGATGAAGCCGCGGCCATCTGACATTTGGGGGGGAAGTTTTCTAGGCAAAAGCACTGAGAATACAGCCTAGAGACAGCCCTGAGGCCAGTGGCTGGAGCAAATGAGCAAGGGCTCCCGAGGGCAGGAGTGGCCAGGAAGCCCACGTCAGTGCAGGACTTCCTGGGCCGTGGGAATGACTCAGGATGATAAAATACATAGACAAAATTGCTTCAGTGAGTGATAAATGCCACTAAGAAAATAGAACCGGAGAGCGAGAAAGTGAGGGGCTACGTTACTTTACATGGCACAATTTTTACATATTGGCTGCAGGTGTGAGCAGTTTCTCTGTGTGCCCTTCGGACTACGGAGAGATAATTTACCATTTACTGCTCTGGTGTAATCGGCTTTGACAGTTTAAAGAGTACAATACCCAAAAGTCTGAGCTATCAAGTTACTGATTTGAGTCTTTAAAGAAAAAAAAAAATCACCATTTAATCTGTACTTGAGTCTTCTTCCATCAGTGAGAGGTGTTCCTTCTACAACCTTAAAAGAAAAGGGTTCTTTTTAATTTTAAAGTTTAAAAAGCACACTTTACCATGATATATATGTCTTGTAATATCACTTACATTTCAACATGCCCAAGAAGGATCATCTTTTAGTAGGAAAATTTAGTAACAAGTTTCAGAAATCTTCATGGCATACCCTCTGATGAAGGAATTCCACCTTCAGGAATTTATCCCAAATGTAAGTCTTGTGGATGACTTCTCAGTGTACTGAGACTATGGCAATAGCCACCCTCTCCCAACCATCCACGTCTCACCACAAGACTAAATGTGCTTTCAAAAACTTGTATTATCTAGTCAATCCCTAGCTCAAAGCTCTTCAGTGACTCCCCAGTGCTTACAGAACAGAATACAACTCCACTATCTTACATTTGTGCTGTCCTTTCAGTGGGGTTCAACCCCACTTACCCAATCTGCTATGGCCCATGTGCTTCTGATGACATGTATTCATACACTCCCTTGCTCTGCTATTTATACATACACGTTCACCTAGGTATTCAATATTTCACATGATTCTTTTATCTCCAATAAGAGACAGAGGGCACTTCCTGGATCAGACCATTTCTTCTCTTCATTGGATCACCGACAGCATACCCGTACAAAAGGTACTCAAGAAACACATGACTTGAATGGGACAAGTTAAAATAGAAAAGTCCATTTGCCCAATGCAGCTACATTTTATTCCCCAAAATAACTATTCAGAAGTGTGGCAATTCATTATAAACTGTAAAATACTAACATGGTATCATTTGTCTTGAGCTAAACTACTTTACCCTTTCATTAGCTATGAAAGGGAACCTAGGGAAAATGTAGTATTTGTTTACAGATTAGCAAAACCGCACATGCTAATTTCAAATGATCCCTATCTAGTAAAGTTATCTAACAACTACTGTGTTGGGTTTTAGTCTGTGAGGAAAAAAAAAAAGATATATATAGGGGGAAGGTAATAGTTCAGTGGTAGAGAGCACGCTTAGCAAGCATGAGGTCCGGAGTCCAATCCCCAGTACCTCTACTTTAAAAAATACATATGTATATTTTAACCATCAAAACTGCTTTTCTCAATAAATATTGTCTAGTTTGAACTAGCTTTACCTAAGTTTATCTGAATTTGTGATTTTTACTCTAGAGCCTTCTCATAAAAACACCTGAAGGTTCACATTACTCAAAATTCTCTCTAGAGACAATAATGTCATGGTGAGGTGCCAAAGTATTGAAAGTCTGCAGCTCTGTCCTCCTGTCATTTGCCACATTTGCTGCTCCTAGTAAAACTGATCCTTTGGTTTACAGCTGGCAAACTTGCAAAGCCCTAAGAATAAGATCTTTAGATGAATTATTTATTGATTAGGGAATCTTGTGTTCCAAATAAACTATTTTACTAAAAGAAGAAAAATGAGGACAAATTTTGAAGACACTGCCTGAATTTTAAAAGAACATTAAATGTTCCTGACAACAAATTTCTGAAAGAAATGAAAACTGGAAACTCACCATATTAAAATAAAAAAAGTTAAAAGATATGGACTGAGCTCAGTTAAAAGATATGGACTGAGCTCAGATAATTTAAAATTCTACATCTGAAATGACATATACTAAGAAGGAATTTTTCCCCCCAATAACCTCTATCATTAGTCACGATATTTTGCAGAATAGCGTATTCTTTTCTATTTGGTTTGAAAAGGCACACAAGAACCCTCAATCAGATTCTTAAAGTTCTGCTTAGTAAGCAAGTGTTACAGATATAAGAGTAAAGGCTTAACAAACTGCAACTAAGTTAAGTTTGGGCAGTTATGACCAAGGACAGCTTTTAACCTTAAAACTACTATAAATGTCTATGTAAACACGGGAGCGAGGGGAAGAAAGTCTCATAAAATTATACATACCAACAAAACCTTACCTTCCCAACTGGCAGTAAGTAGAACAGAGCCTGAAGGAAAAACCAGAGGAGGTAGACCCCAAACACTCTGGTTTCCCATAACTCATACAAAGCTGGCAGAGGCGGCGGGAAATTCAGAAGGCTGGGCTCTCTCTGTTTACACAACAACAGCAGCAGGAAGAGGAAGGCAGGCAGGCCAAGCATGATGAGAAAAACACCTGCAAACCATCAGTGAACATTCAAGGCTCTAATTTCAATCCAGGTTGTTCTGTTTTATTTTTTTCTAGAATCACTTGGGTTTCTAAGGTCAGAACTCAAGTCTGGCGAGCTGCTTGAAACTAGTTCCTAATGTATCATCAGAAAGTCCTAACCAATCTCTACCTGTCACATCCTGTGGGAAAGCAACCACAGGCATCAAAGTAGTAAAACCGCAGATGTCCAGCACTGAACAGCTAAATCCCACCTTGGAAACCAAGCTCTGAAATGTTTAAAATGTAACCACTTACGGGAACAAACATGCTGAAACTCCAGCAAACTGAAGACTGGAACATCTATAAATTATTGGCCTAATCTTTAAAAAGACAGAAACTTTATATCCCTAAGTTTCTAACACTTAAAATAATATCACATTCATGTAATACGTGTGCAGACTTTTAAGTGATGCTGGACACCATCTTTAACAGATCAGCTAGCCAAGAGTTATAACTTACAGAATACAAAGTAGTTAAGCCATGCAGGATTTTGAACCAGCTGAACAAGAAGCACTTTTTTTTTTTTCTACTAGCTCTTAAAATCTCACCAGCTCCACCCACTTAATAACTCCAAGCCTCTGAATGCTTTAGATCTTTGACCCTCATAAGCAGCCCATCTAACAGGTTGGGGAGACACCGTGACCTCCCTGGACACATGCAGCTTATTTCCACTGCTACTGCCAAGCCTGGGCTGTCACCTCCAGTCTAATTATTAACAGATTTTCCAGTCACTTATCCTTCACCAGCCTTCCCACCTACAACTTTCACACTAACCTTCCTTTTGTCACTTCTTTGCTCAAAATCTATTGACAGATTGCTAGAAGTCTTCAATGCAGCCACAATGGCACCCTTATCCTCAAAAATGCTCCACTCAGGCCTTCGCACCTGCTGTTCCTTCTAACTAAAAACTCTTCCCCAGGCTCCCCCCTGGCTCATTAGCTAGCCTGCTTCAGATTTCTTCAGAGAAAGCCTTTCCTGTTCACTTTATAGCAACCACTGCTCACCTACCCTGTCTGCCCTCCCTTAGCCGGTTCTGATGCCTACCAGGTACTCCTCCAAACTCTAACTTCTTCGGCTGTGGGCCTGCCGCTTCAAAGGTCCTCAACGATGTAGGTCCTTTTGTAACAATCCTGTCTTCCTTAGAATCCAGTTCTTTTAATTTGATCTCTTCTCTTCTTGGACGAAGGCTGTACTGTGTAGATAGATAACTACTTTCTTGTGACAATGGGAATTTTTCCTATTTAAAAAGTAAAAAGTATTAAATATCTGTAGTCAATAAATATCATGAGTGCTACCACATTAAGTAATCCAGCATCTCAATACAGTCATATACTAATAAGAATACATTTGGTAAATTATATTCAGTCTTAATTGAAGGACAGAATTTTAGAAAAGATAGTAAGAAAAATTATGGTTTCCAAAGTCTTCTTTAGAGAAAGTGACTTTAACAAAGAAAACAATTACCTGAGATGAGAAAGACACCATTTGGGCCCGTGTGTTCGCTTGCGCCGGTGCGTCCGCTTGCGCCGGTGCGTCCGCTTGCGCCCTCGCGTCCCCTTGCGCCCGCGCGTCCCTGCGCGGTATGTCATTCCGCTCTCTCTGCTCAGGCTCCCCATTGTATCTGCTGATGCTGTTTCCAAATGGCTTCTAAATTGAAAAATATGAAACAGTTTAACCATAAGAATGGTAACTTAATAAAAATGAACATGATGGTAAAAATTTACTATTTGAAACCATGCAATAAAACAAACTCAAGAGTTTCACAGCCTTAATGCTGAAGAATTTCAGCCTACTTTTATTAAAAATGAAATGGAATAAAATTAACTAGAATTTTCCAATATTCAAAATCTTTCCCAATCTTGGATCTTTAAACAAAAGTAGACCAAATCTTATCATTTCACTGTTCAATAACAAATGCTCCAAAAATATTCTCTATGAGAGGCAGATAAAGTTAAAATTGATAAATTAGTTCATTAATTGATTTAAAAAAGAGGAAAAGACATTCACTGCCCCAAAATAGCTAATAATGAGAAATTAAGAAATAATGGGTAGAATATAAAACTAAAAAAAAAAAAAGTGGGTATTTATGGAGTATTACTAGCAGTAACCTACAAACTGCCTATTTTCTGAGTTTCATCTATCTGCCTCATTTTTGTTTAACCTTGAATTTTATCTCCCTTAGTCTCTTTTCTTGAATGCTCATTCTCTTCAAGCAGTGGAGGGAGGGAATTTCTTATCGACTGTACAGAGGAAGTAATTTAGCTTACAGAACAATATCTAGGCAATGCATGGCTGAAATCTGTAACTTTGCTCCTTTAAAGTCACTGACAAATTACAACACTAATAAACCGATAGGAGGAAAACAAATTTAAAAAGGCAAGTACCCTCTGGGAAGCCAAGTGGCAAAAGATAGCATTAATGTAGTGTCAAATTCTAGTTCAAATCAAGGTCTAACGGAGCTGTGATTAGCATTCAACATATACTTAAGTTTACCAAAGTGCCAGTGAGCTACTTAGCAGCAGTCTCACCTAAAACCTGCATTCTGTTTTCTTAATGTCCAATATATAATCCATAGCAACCACAAATGCAATCCTGTAACATAGCCAGTCAGCTGACCCTAAACTGTACTGACTGCTAATTGACAGGATACTCGCACAGTGAGGCAAAGTATCACAAAGACCACAATTAGGAGTCAAAAAGAACAAGCATAATGTGATGTCAGAGCTACATGTAGCCTAAGGCATCACCCCATCCTCAACTCAGCAATGGGTCCACGGTGAGCCCAGGGCTCGAATGGTGAGGAGCAAAGCCAGTCTGTGGTTCTTGGGTCACTAGGACTATAAGGAGGTTACACTGCAAAAACACAGTGGTCACTAAAAGCTAAAAGTCAAATGCGACAGAAAGCATACAGCATCTATTCCTTAACCTGAGTCACCTGACTAGTAAAGACAGCCACTAACAGAATGTTCAGACTCACCAGTGATTATTAGTTAAAACGGTGAGTTGAAAATCTCTGATAATCAGATTGGCCCAAAGAAGAAAAAATTATTATTATACTCAGAATGAGAAAATGGTCATTCATACTCTCCTCAAACTGCTATAAGCTTCCTTGAAGCAATAATGTACTAAAAGCCTCAAATCTGCTCTATCCATCTGACCTAGCAGCTCCACTTTTAAGAATTTATCCTAAGGATGTTGTGTCAGAATATTTGTTTATAAAAATGAAAACTTAGAAAGAAAAAAAGCTAAACATCTTTCAGTAAGGAAATTAACAATTACATTACCTCTGTATGATTTATGATATATCTGAACAATACCGTACAACAAAAGTGAGGTTGAAAATGTAACACAGCAGGTTATTCCCATTATTTTAAAATTTAAAAATCTGACTCAAAACGCTATGTGCATAATCCAATTTATTAAAAATTGGTGTGCATTTTATCCAGAAGAGGTTATGTTAAGTGAATTCAAAAATTACCTTTATTCCTTTTATTTATAATTTCTATTCGGTCTACTGTCTAAAATATTCATTGTGCAAGGTGCTACAGGCCCTGCACTCCCTGATATTTCCAAACTTGAACCTTGAAAGTAATTCTATTAAAAGTCTCATCTTTGAATATAGAAAAAGTGATCAAGTATGATAGTAAGAAAGCAAGAATATGGTTTTTTTTGATTTTTTTTTTAATGGGGGTACTGAGGATTGAACCCGGGACCCTGGGCATGCTAAGCACACCCTCGACCACTGAGCTACACCCACCCCCCAAGAATGTTTTTATGACAGTTATGTCTCGTTATTTAACACGTGAACATTTATACACTATAAAAACGTACTCAGTTCAATCTATAATCTACATCTATTTCAAATTTAAACATTGTTTTTTTTTAACCACAATATTAAACAGCACTCTTACAACTTAAAAATACTCTTTTTCGTGGTATTTAAAAGCACTAAACCTTCTATTCTTCCAAACGTTCATTTTTTTAAGTAATCTTCCAGAGTCATTCCCTTTGGTTTGACATTTCACTGACATTTTAACTTGCAAATAACTTGAGAGCATACACACACAAAGGGGAAGACATGTTCTGGGTGGACTAAACACTGTAAAAGGGCGGAGATCGCCCAAGACACGCACCAGTACCAGCGGAGTCAGTTTAACTTCCAGTATTTCCTTCCTTGCTTCCTTAATGTCAACCTGGTGCGAAGCAGAGGCGGATCGGCGGGAACCTTTAAGGAGCCGGCCAGGGGACCTCGAGCGAGACCTTGAACGGCTCCCTCGGCGTCTGGAGGGAGAACTGGAAGTTGAGCCACTTTTCCTTTGCCTGAAGGAGGTTAAAGGCTGGAGGGGGAGGAGAAGGCAGAGCTTCACCAAAAGCCGTAATGCACACAGCAGACAGACCTGCACTACAGGAGGGCAGCAGAGGCAGTGATTGGCACCGCTGACTCTAAAACCATCCCGGGATCGCAGGGGACCTGAGCATCCATCAGAGGAGACCAGTGACAAATACGCCATTAGTGACCCATCTCTCCTAAGACCAATGCAGCCTTTCCACTCCTCATTCTTCTTTGAAGGTATTGTCATGAAGTGAATGTCCTAAACCAATTAGCTGTACATTTTCCCAATAACATACACAAGAAGAGTTACAATTAACATTGATTAAAACTGAGGTGATGGGACAAAAGAAATCAGCACACAAACAATAACAAGAAAAGTAGTCCCACAGTTTCACTCTGAGCAAAAACACAGTCAGATCTTGAGAACAAGTACAAGTCTGGATTACTTAGGAGTTTTCACTCTGCCCTCACCTACTCCCAGTGTTTCCAGAGATCCAGACCTGAGGAAGGCAAACCACCCCCAGGCCAAATCCTTCCCACCACGTTGGTGTGGCCCAGGAGCTAAGAATAGCTTTGCAGTTTTCAAATGATTGCAAACAAAATCAAAAGAAAAATGAAACTTGGTGGCATGTGAGAATTATCTGAAATTCAGATTCCAGTGTCCATGAATAAACTCTTTTTGGAACACCACCACGCCCGTCCTTCCAGAGTGCCCAGAGCTGCTCTCACACTGCACGAACTATATGGCCAGTAAGCCTAAGCTATTTCTAGTCTGTCCCTTTATTCAAAAACGTTGCGACCCCTGGTCTAGAGCACTCAAACTGTGGTCCACAGGCTGTGGGCTCAAGAACTATTTGTTCCTGATCTGCAACAAGGAATGAAATTGAGAAGAGGTGGGTAGAAATTTTCATAGCATTTGGACAAACTAATTTTATGTCTGTTAAATCTGACATTAAAAAGTTAGGGCTTTTATTTTCTGTTTTTGTAATCTGTCTAGTAACTCACTTTTATGGTATTTTACATAAGTACTTATACACCACAGATAAGATCTTTTCAAGCTCAGGTCCTCAGCAGACAGGTTGAGAAGCCCCAAACTCAAATCTCCTGATTAAATCATGGGTGTTCGGGATGAAGCCCAAACCCCTCCAGTTCTAGTTCCTGCTCAGCCCTCCCCTGGCCCTCACCCACACACCCTTTTGGGACTTGGCCGTCTATGTCCCCGACCTTAAGCCTTCGGCATGATGCTCACTGTGGAAGCCCCCCAACCCTCACCCATCACCCGAGTTTTTCCCCTCTGTCCTTATCACTCAGCTCTGAAAGCCTTTCTCAAAACCCTGTGCCCTTCCCTAACCTTGACGTGCTCCAGGACCACCCGCGACAAATGATCACAGAATGACAGAGTGTATTAGACCAGGGGGAGGATGGATGTAAGTGTCCGACTTCTCCAGCAGACTAGGATAGAAGCTTCTTAGGAACAGGGAACCATGCCTCACTCAGACATTCACAGAGCCAAACACAGGACCTGACCCAAAGCAGGAGCGTGACCCTGTGCCTCCAAAGAGAGCCAGACCTGACTGTTCTACACTTAAAAACCACACCTACAGTGATTTCCCAATTATTATAAACATATTCCGTAAACCAAAGAGCACTTACCTTAATATCACTCTCTTTCAGTTCCAGTTCAGTTCCATCTTTGTATTTTACAGTATAAAGCTGGGACCTGCTGTCGTAGCTCAGAATTTCTACTTCATAATAAAGGGAACTCCCAGGCCAGCGACCTCTTACCACTTCACCATCGGCAAATTTCCTACTTGGCATTTTTGAAAATCAGTCTGAATAGTTTAAAAAAAAAATGGGATCAGTGCATACACACTTACATTTGTCTTTTTTCATGGACTGAACACTAAAATACAACTTTCCAAAATTTTTAACTGGTCAAGACTTTAGGGACAGAAAAACCTCTAGAGGAGAAGCTATACAACTTCTGTTTCAAAGGTGAGAAAACTGAGGCTTAAGGATGTTCACTGTTTTGTCTAAGGGCATAAAAACAGAGTCAGGACAAAGAGGTGGTTCTTTCTGCTACACGGAACCTCACTGGGAATCACTGTATACAGCCACTGTAGTGCAGGTAAGTGGCGCTAAGGATTAATTATGACAAAACATGAAGTCTGCACTCAGCAAAATGCTACCCACTGACAGCGGCTATACTTCTTTAATTAACAAGGCACAATCTCATAAAGGACACACATTTTCTGATTTATAAATGTATATAGACAGTAGTCCTCCCCTCATTTGAGGGGGACATGTTCCAAGGCCCCCAGGCATTCCTCAGTGGTTGCCTGAAATCCTGTGATACAACACAGAACCCTATATATATACTCTGTTTTTTCCTATACATACATAACAATGCTAAAGTTTAACTTATAAATTAGGTGCCATAAGAGGTTACCAATAACTAAAAATAGAACAAATATAAAACAATTGTAACACTATGCTATAATAAGAGCTTTGTGAATGTGGTCAGTCTCTCTCTCAAAATACCTTATTGCACAAATTTAATGCCTTTTCCATCTTAACTAAGCACTTAATCACACACTAAAACTTTCGCAGTGTGAGATGCAACAGCAAAGCCAGCACAGGTTTCTTTTTCTTTCATCACAATTTCATGGATAGAATACTTGCTCTTACTGTAAATCTTAGCATCCTCAGCATATGATTTTTTTCCCTTTCCTTATTAAGTTGAGAATTTTCACCTTTTCACTTAAAGGAAGCACTTTATGGCCTCTGTTTGGCATATCTGAATTGCCAGCATCACTACTCTCGTGCCTTGGGGCCATTATTAAGTAAAATAAGGGTCACTCGAACACACGCACTGCGATACCTTGACAGCCCATCTGATAACCAGGACGGCTACTAAGAGACTAAATGGGCTGGACACGCTGGACAGAGGGATGATTCACATCCCAGGCTGGACGGGGAGGGTCAGCACAAGGGTTCTTCATGCTACCCAGAATGGTGCAGAATTTAACACTCATAAATTTATTTCTGGAATCTTCCATTTAATATTACTGAACCACAGGTGACCACAGGTAAGTAAAACCTCGGAAAGCCAAACAGTGGATAAGGGGGGAGGACTGTAGTCTTATAAAGGCTTCAAAAATATATCTAATTTGTAATAAATTACCTTTATGAAAAAAACAATAAACTATGAAACAGACCAGGAAAATAAAGGATGTATAACTAACATTACTATAACCTACCAAAAGGGAGAAAAATAATTCTAAGTCTATAGTGAATAGCGAATTTGAGGTTTTCACAAAGCTTTCAAGTCTTACAGCTAAAGTCCCAAGTGCACACCAAGTAACTCAGCCAACTACAGCCCTGGGCCAGCACCCCAGCCCTTTTCTCTCAAGCCTACAGCAGACGTCGACCCCCAGTTAGAACATTCCTTTCCACTGAACCAAAACAGGGCCCATGAGGGTTTGTATAAACAACACTCTAAGAAGCCACAAGCAAACTGCAGGAATTGCCACTTACATGAGGCCTGTTTGCCACCTTTTTCCAAACACTAACTGATTGCTGGGTGCTCCCCCAAGCAGATTCACGTTCCCAGAGGACAAAACAGAATGTCTCTAACACCAGTGAAATTAGCAGGGCTGAGTCTAAGAAGCAGACAGCAGGACAGAAAAATCTCTCCTTAAATCACCTTCATCCCACCAACTAAGCAATTTCCAAAATATCATCTGGGCATATAAATATACATTCCTCCCCCAGCCTCTGCCAAGAGCTGATTACACAACAATAATAACATTGAAGAATTTTTGAAGACGCTCCAGGGTTAAGAAAGGAGAAAGTTAAATCACCCCTCCTGAGAAAAAGTCTTTCCCAAGCACATTTCTTCACTGCTAATCACCTGAGAAAAAGCTTAACAAGCTTCACTTGTTTAGACAGATAGTCACTAGGTCAGTAGATGAAAGAAATCCCAAAGGCTTATCTGGTGATTAGAGAATGTCAGTCAATTTACACATTAGTGAAGAGACTGCTTCTTTCCAGACCTACCTGAGATAGCATCACTAGGGTAATGAAAGGGTTTGGGCTTGGAGTGTGGGGAGAGGAGCCCAGGAGCTCTAGGGATAAGGTCACATCTGGCTGAGGAGTCACAGTGAGGGGAACTTAGGAAGCAGGGGACAGTGGACACCCTGAGACCCAGAGAAGGGGCACAAAAAAGGAAGGTGACAACAGCAAGTTTTGCCTATTTCAACACTGAGCTAGCTCCGGGCCTCCAAACACAGAAAGAGGAAGGAAATGTGCCCTCCTCTCTTCTCTTGTGCCCCCTCCTCCTCCTCGGACCCCCTAAAACCAAACCACTGTTATTAATACCAGTTCTCTGACATTGGTCAACCAGGGTTGGAAGAAGACAGTTACATCTTTCTCCACAAAGGTGCCTTTCAAGTTTCAAATCACTCTTTATAAACTTTTGAAGCACAGTCCCTCAGGACGTAGGGACCACCTGGGTTTTTTAAAAGGTCCTTGAGCAGAGTCTGTACCTTTTAGAAAATGTATTTCTTGGCATCTTTCTGTTGTACCTATGACACACCACAGACATAGCCTCTGTGCACAGGTCAATGCCATCGAGGTCATTCCATTATCAATTAAATATCTGAGGTTAAACAAATTAAGATATCTGGTAGTCAGATCTCTAAACTTAATTTAAAAAAAAATTAAGAATTGGGACTCGACAGTGCTCTTTCATGTGGTGGTTGAAAAAGAAAAAGGAACAAGCCAGGAAACCACTATCTTACACACAGACGTTCCCAAAGATGAAACCACCATCGTATGTGCACCCCCCCACTTCCCACAAGAGCCACACACAACTGTCACACAGCACCTCACATCCTAATCCTGCCGGAGTATATCAGCCAGGTGGGACAGAAAAGCCCCAGGACATTTGTGCATGTCATCATGCACTCACCTAATGGAGTCAAAACACATTAGGCTAGGCCTCCCTAGGAAGGGATGTTTCAGCCAAGAATGTTTGCAAAGAAAAATTTTGTTTACTGAACACAATGTCTTCATTGCCTATTAGCAGTGGAAACATGGGGACCCTCAGACTTTTCTCTACAAGCCACAGGCTTGCTAACTCCAGTGTCAATTGGCACTGGAATCCTCACACATTTCAGCTCCAATATGTTACTGTTTATCAACACAACAGAATGTGCTATTCTGTGCTGATCACAGTGTTACAAGGGCCTTTGGTCATCTTTCCTTCACTTTTCCAAATCAGTCTAAATGTGACAGATAAAGGGAAGCTCAGATGAAGTGTAACACACACCTGCGCCCAAGGCTGGCCTTCCAGGCAAAATGCAAACAGGACCCCTTGGCCTGCCTCCTGTCTCTGCCACAGGATGCAGAAGAAATCCCACCTTCCTGGCTGTAGAGGCAGGATGACCTGACTTTTTCTCTAAGTAGTGTAAAGAACTGAAGGTAGTAACAATTTCCCTCCTACTCACTCTTTTCTCTCCTCCCTAGCGAGTTCTCAGAAACTAAACTTAAACTAGACTTGCAACCCAATCTAAATTAGCTCCCCCTACCATCCTTTCCTCCACAGCAGGTGCTACAAAATGTAATTAATTACAGATTTGCACATGTTTGTTTGCAAGGTCCCTAAAGGCTGGGACCAGGAGTGTGGGTCTAGCTGGGCTCTGGCCGCGCGCATAACCCTCATACAGCAGGCGAGCAAGCACACTCACTCCAGGCTGGTGAACCCTTGGGTCGCCCACGCGCTGTCCAATGTAGCTACTGGATCGTTCTGTGAGTATCCACAGCATGACTCCCGACCAGACTGTACAATCGTTTGGTGAACTGCCCGTCAACAGGCCCTCTGCAGTCAAGCGCTTACTAAATGTCCCTTACAAATGTCAGAAGGTGTCATTATGAAGTAATTTTTTAAGCCTTAAAAAGGTGGGAAAAAAAACCAGGATCGAGCTTTAGCAGGAGCACGCAAACCTGCCTAACTATCCGTTCTTTGTGCAGAAACACGGGGCGAAGGAATGCAACACAGGCAGCCAGCACTGGAGAGTCGCCAAACCGAGATGGCCACGATCCTAAAAGGCCGGTGACAACCAGCGCAAATTAAAGTCAGCCTTGCAACCCCACTTCCCCGTCTGCCAGGCTGCCGCGCCTTTTCTGCCTCCCCACGAGCAGCGCCCGCCAAGGCACCCGCTAATCTGTCAAAAAGGCGCTCGGAGAGGGCGGGTGCTGCAGGGCGGGGACAAAGGGGCCGGGGAGGGTCTCCCACCCATAAACCCTCCCAGTCAACACCATTTTACTCCGACGCGGCGCGTCCAAAATGGAGGGAAATGTCCGCAGTTTAAGACCACAGCTCCATTTCCGCAGCTAGCCGGGCCGGGCGCAGGTCGAGCCTCGCCAGCAGCGGCCAGGACCGACCCGGATGAGGGGAAAGCGAGGCCTCGGGGCCAGGCCCGGTACCCCCGAGCCCACCCGCCGCGCCCGCCTCGCGGGCCTCCCCCCTCGGTCCCTCTAGCGCCGCGGGGAGC